CAAAATGGGGATGTCCGCGACACGGTTTACATGCAGGTAGCGGTGCTGCAGCTGCTTTATATAGTCATTCATGCGCAAAAAATTCCCCCTTCCTCGTACTTCAAAAAGATCCCATACTTTAACATGGCCTTTTCCACTATTTTTGAGGTCACGGTGTGGGTCAGAGGAGGGATGTAAAGGGTCTTAAATTAGGTCACTTCATCGTCATAACCCTCCCTTCGAGGCGGTCATGTCTTTATTCTGATATGTCATTCAAAAGGAAAAAAAAGCCCCCCCAAATGTTCTTCAAAAAGATCCCATACTTTAACATGGCCTTTTCCACTAAATTTGAGGTTACGGTGTGGGTCACAGGAGTCATGTAACTGGTCAGAAATCAGGTCACTTCATCGTCATAACCCTCCCTTTAAGGCGGTAGTGTCTGCATTCTGATACATCATTCATGCGCAAAAAATTCCCCCACCCCCGTACTTCAAAAAGCTCCTATACTTTAACATTGCCTTTTCCACTAATTTTGAGGTCACGGTGTGGGTCACAGGAGTGATGTAAATGGTCAGAAATATGGTCACTTCATCGTCATAACCCTCCCTTTAAGGCGGTATTGTCTGCATTCTGATACGTCATTCTTAGTCTAAAGAGCCCCCTCAAATGTACTCAAAAAAGCTCCTATACTTTAACATTGCCTTTTCTACTAATTTTGAGGTCACGGTGTGGGTCACAGGAGGGATGTAGAGGGTCTTAAATCAGGTCACTTCATCATCATAACCCTCCCTTCGAGGCGGTCATGTCTTTATTCTTATAAGTCATTCACACACAAAAAAAACCCCGAAATGTTCTTCAAAAAGATCCCATATTTTAACATTGCCTTTTCCACTAATTTTGAGGTCACAGTGTGGGTCACAGGAGGGATGTAAAGGGTCTTAAATCAGGTCACTTCATCATCATAACCCTCCCTTCGAGGCGGTCATTTCTAGCATATTTGCCCATAACTTCTTATTTTTTGTCTGTTTGATGTCATCATTTTAAAAATATTAGATCAGATGATACTGGGTACTCAAGTAGCCTTCTAATCAGATACTTTTTTTTACCCTTACTTGAGTCATAAACCCTATATCAGGAAAAAATTGTCCTCGGTTTGTGTCCTTCCGGTGAGCTTTGCAGATTTGGGAAAATGTCATCAGGCAGTAATCATTGTTAAATTCATAATTATTCTCGGAGAGAGACCAACTCTTAACTGTCCCTGGGAGCCCCGTAATGTATAGCGTCATTTTAAAATGGGGATGTCCGCGACACGGTTTACATGCAGGTAGCGGTGCTGCAGCTGCTTTATATAGTCATTCATGCGCAAAAAATTCCCCCTTCCTCGTACTTCAAAAAGATCCCATACTTTAACATTGCCTTTTCCACTAATTTTGAGGGCACGGTGTGGGTCACAGGAGGGATGTAAATGGTCTTAAATCAGGTCACTTCATCATCATAACCCTCCATTTGAGGCAGTCATTTCTACATTCTGATATGTCATTCATGCGCAAAAAATTCCCCCACCCCCGTACTTCAAAAAGCTCCTATACTTTAACATTGCCTTTTCCACTAATTTTGAGGGCACGGTGTGGGTCACAGGAGGGATGTAAATGGTCTTAAATCAGGTCACTTCATCATCATAACCCTCCCTTCGAGGCGGTCATGTCTTTATTCTTATAAGTCATTCATACACAAAAAAAGCCCCCGAAATGTTCTTCAAAAAGATCCCATATTTTAACATTGCCTTTTCCACTAATTTTGAGGTCACGGTGTGGGTCACAGGAGGGATGTAAAGGGTCTTAAATCAAGTCACTTCATCTTCATAACCCTCCCTTCGAGGCGGTCATTTCTAGCATATTTGCCCATAACTTCTTATTTTTTGTCTGTTTGATGTCATCATTTTAAAAATATTAGATCAGATGACACTCGGTACTCAAGTAGCCTTCTAATCAGATACTTTTTTTTTACCCTTACTTGAGTCATAAACCCTATATCAGGAAAAAATTGTCCTCGGTTTGTGTCCTTCCGGTGAGCTTTGCAGATTTGGGAAAATGTCATCAGGCAGTAATCATTGTTAAATTCATAATTATTCTCGGAGAGAGACCAACTCTTAACTGTCCCAGGGAGCCCCGTAATGTATAGCGTCATTTCAAAATGGGGATGTCCGCAACACGGTTTACATGCAGGTAGCGGTGCTGCAGCTGCTTTATATAGTCATTCATGCGCAAAAAATTCCCCCTTCCTCGTACTTCAAAAAGATTCCATACTTTAACATTGCCTTTTCCACTAATTTTGAGGGCACGGTGTGGGTCACAGGAGGGATGTAAAGGGTCTTAAATCAGGTCACTTCATCATCATAACCCTCCCTTCGAGGTGGTCATGTCTAGCATTGTCACGGTGTGAAAATTTAACCTCACGGTTATTGTGACGTAAATTATCACGGTTTTCGGTATTATCGTGGTATTTTTTTAAACGTGTTACATTTTCAGACAACTACATAAACCCTGAATATCAGGAAAAAATTGTCCTCGGTTTGTGTCCTTCCGGTGAGCTTTGCAAATTTGGGAAAATGTCATCAGGCAGTAATCATTGTTAAATTCATAATTATTCTCGGAGAGAGACCAACTCTTAACTGTCCCTGGGAGCCCCGTAATGCATAGCGTCATTTCAAAATGGGGATGTCCGCGACACGGTTTACATGCAGGTAGCGGTGCTGCAGCTGCTTTATATAGTCATTCATGCGCAAAAAATTCCCCCTTCCCCGTACTTCAAAAAGATCCCATACTTTAACATTGCCTTTTCCACTAATTTTGAGGTCACGGTGTGGGTCACAGGAGGGATGTAAAGGGTCTTAAATCAGGTCACTTCATCATCATAACCCTCCCTTCGAGGTGGTCATGTCTAGCATTGTCACGGTGTGAAAATTTAACCTCACGGTTTTTGTGACCAAAATTATCACGGTTTTCGTATTATCGTGGTATTTTTTTAAACGTGTTACATTTTCAGACAACTACATAAACCCTGAATATCAGGAAAAAACGGTTTGTGTCCTTCCGGTGAGCTTTGCAAATTTGGGAAAATGTCATCAGGCAGTAATCATTGTTAAATTCATAATTATTCTCGGAGAGAGACCAACTCTTAACTGTCCCTGGGAGCCCCGTAATGCATAGCGTCATTTCAATATGGGGGTGTCTGCGACACGGTTTACATGCAGGTTGCAGTGTTTCGGCTGCTTTATATAGCAACTCGTTGCATTCTCCCTCAACCCAAATCCTCGGATCACGCATTTTAGTTAAAACGCTAACGTTAACTTGCCTTGCGTTTAATGTAGAGTTGTGGGTGATGGTCACGCAGATGTGTCATGAGATCAAAAAGATCCCATACTTTAACATTGCCTTTTCCACTAATTTTGAGGTCACTGTGTGGGTCACAGGAGCAATGTAAAGGGTCTTAAATCAGGTCACTTCATCATCATAACCCTCCCTTTGAGGCGGTCATATCTGCATTCTGATACGTCATTCATGCGCAAAAAAGACCCCACCCCCATACTTCAAAAAGCTCCTATACTTTAACATTGCCTTTTCCACAAGTTTTGAGGTCACGGCGTGGGTCACAGGAATGATGTAAAGGGTCTTAAATCAAGTCACTTCATCATCATAACCCTCCCTTCGAGGCGGTCATGTCTTTATTCTGATATGTCATTCATACGCACAAAAGCCCCCCCAAACGTTCTTCAAAAAGATCCTATACTTTAACATTGCCTTTTCCACTAATTTTGAGGTCAGTGTGTGAGTCACAGGAGTGATGTAAATGGTCAGAAATCAGGTCACTTCATCGTCATAACCCTCCCTTTAAGGCGGTAGTGTCTGCATTCTGATACGTCATTCATGCGCAAAAAATTCCCCCACCCCCGTACTTCAAAAAGCTCCTATACTTTAACATTGCCTTTTCCACTAATTTTGAGGTCACGGTGTGGGTCACAGGAGGGATGTAAATGGTCTTAAATCAGGTCACTTCATCATCATAACCCTCCCTTTGTGGCGGTCATTTCTACATTCTGATATGTCATTCATGCGCAAAAAATTCCCCCACCCCCGTACTTCAAAAAGCTCCTATACTTTAACATTGCCTTTTCCACTAATTTTGAGGTCAAGGTGTGGGTCACAGGAGGGATGTAAAGGGTCTTAAATCAGGTCACTTCATCGTCATAACCCTCCCTTCGAGGCGGTCATGTCTTTATTCTGATATGTCATTCATACGCAAAAAAGCCCCCCCAAATGTTCTTCAAAAAGATCCCATACTTTAACATGGCCTTTTCCACTAATTTTGAGGTCACGGTGTGGGTCACAGGAGTGATGTAAATGGTCAGAAATCAGGTCACTTCATCGTCATAACCCTCCCTTTAAGGCGGTAGTGTCTGCATTCTGATATGTCATTCTTAGTCTAAAGAGCCCCCTCAAATGTCCCCAAAAAAGCTCCTATACTTTTAACATTGTCCAAAATCCAAAAACTCTCCATGTCCAAAATGTGCGTAAGCCAGCTCCTTAGGTCAACTCAAAGTTGCCCACATTTTCCCACTACTTTTTCCTTTATAAATCCCAAAGTTTGAATGGCAAGTTACTTTTGCAGTTTTGCAACCCCATTTTGTGGGTAAGCAAGCTTTATAAATGACAGCCCAGGCCACTATAAAACTTACTGATGTACATCTGCAGCATGCAAGGACCATTTACAGGGGTTGATTTTATTTGTCACAGTTTTCACCCCTTCAGAGTTTGTAGGTATGAACGTTCTTGTTCTCTGCACCATCACAGTTGATTCATTGGTTGAGCCCCAATACATAAAAAATAAATTAAATGAACAGGATAAATATTATATATATAATGTGTGTGTATGTATGTATGTGTGTGTAAGCTGTTGAAATATATGCTCATATATTTATTAATAAATATCTAATATATACATATGAGACTCAAATGGTCAAGTGTGATTTTAGTTTTCAGCAGAAACAGACTTTTTTGGGAGTGGGGGTGGGGAGTGGCTCTGCACCTGCACTGGACAGGGGAGCAAAAGTTCATGATGCATTCAGGGAAAATTGGTGTGTCCAACTATACTGAAATAAAAACATCTAAAGAGGTTTATTTGTGAATGCTATGAGTTTTCTGTAAAATGATTATTGCTTAAATATTGCACATGAAATTAGCTCATGCCTGAAGTCTGTTAAGACATTATCAGCTGGAAAACCCTAAATTTTTAATGTATCAAGTTTGCAGTCTCATTGTTCGTGAAAGCAGCATGTGCATTGTAGATGGAAAGTACCGGAGCTGCCCTGGATCTCTCCAACTTTGTCAGTCTTTGACTAATTCTACAGAGGAAAAGAGGAATAACTCCACAGCCCAAAAAGGTAACATATAATTTAAAATATTCCATGAAATCATTTACACTTTTTTTAATAAGACAATTACAGCTCTTATCATGCTAAAACAATTTGAACTGAATTGAGCTGTGCTTGTGAGTTTTAGGTAATTTTCTATCAGAGACTATTGTTTTCTTTCAACTTTAAGGTATGTTTAAAGAAATAAAGACACGCTTTACCTACTTACATTTTTAAAACTTATTTTTAAATTAAAACAAAGTGGCTGTCTGCATGGTAAAGCTACGGGGCCTGAAGTGAGCTGTATTTGTGAGGACTCAAAGTGTAGTTTTCAGTAATTTTGTATCAGGGACATGGTTTTGTCTTATGTAACATTAATAATGCTGTACATTTCAACCAGAGCAGTGTTGTTTTATTTTGTGATAGGGTTCATTAACATTATAAAAAGGATTCAGTGTGATGGAAGGTGCACAATGAAATCTAAAAAGAGAGAAATATTATTTTGTTGGGAAATCTAATCTTTCATAGGCAATGTGGATACAATAATCAGTTTTTGACATTTAAAAAAACCCACTAGTGACGTGTTGGCCACGAACGAAACGGCTCTCAGAGCCGACTTGTTTATGTGACCGTTAGGAGAAAGGTCCCTTCTGCAGGAACTGGCTCCCTCTTGGAGAAGTCAAAGTGAGTTACATAGACTGTACCCGCAGGCCCTGGAGCCACTAGAACACAGCAAAACTTGAGCGCACATGTGCAGCGGGCCTCAGTGAAGCTGACCTCCAGTAAAAGCAAATAGGCTGTGCGGTTAGTTTCTGAGATATTACACTTTATTTTATAGGTTATTCTTAACCCTAACCCAGACTGCACCAAAACAGTTCAAAGTAGTCTACTTTTTAGTGCTATGTTTGTGCTGGTTTGTGCTGTTGAAATATAATTTGTGTTGCTATGGTTTCTGAGATATAACAAGTTTTATTGTTGTGTGATGCTCCAAAACATTCCAAAATAGTCTACATTTTAGTTCTTCGTTTGTGCAGTTAAAATTGGGGCGACAGTGGCACAAACCTATTTGCTTTTACTTTTCAAGTGGGGGAGATCAGCTTCATTGAGCTCCGATGCTGTGAAGGCAGGGAGAGGGGTGGCATGCACAAAATGCCTGTGAGACAAATTACATTAACTGATAAGACCTGTAAATATTGGTGGGGACAAATCTGTAAGAGGAGAAAGGAAAATCAAACAAAGCTTCAGAAAGGTGAGGACATGAGTGAAAACAGGACAGGCACCAAGGTTTGGACAAATTTTAACTACAGTGACAATTAAAAGACAGAGTGTAGATTGTGCAAAGGGTAAATATATCCAAAAGGCTATAATAGTTCAAAACTAATACAAATTTTACTTGCAGAGTTTGTTTTTGTCATTTAAAATGTGTTTATGTAGCTCTCTGCTTCATGTTGAATAAAATAAGTTATTTAAACAATAAACACTTGATAAAATGTATATTGTAGATTAGTAATTCAGTTTACATACAGTTTTATATAATTTCTGGTGATAAATTCATTTAGGAAACGAAAAATATGAGGAGCTGTTTAAGAGCCGAAAGAGCCGGTTCATTTTAGTGAGCCGAGCTGTAAGACCCTAACCTAGCAGCAGCCAGATCTCTATGTGTAGCCTCGTGTAGAGTCTACACATTTAGATCTGGACTCTGCAGCAGAAACCGGCTGAAAGAGGGAGGGCTGTGTGGTAGAATATTTTGAACTGACTGAAGGACGCGCAAGGTAGTGCCCGGCTGGCACTAGCTGGCTGCTGCCAGGATAGGGCTCTTGATACGATCGTCAAAACGAACTCCCACCCTACAGCAAAGTGCTGACACACAATTGGATTGACCCATTTTGGGCCGGATGCCGGACGCTTTTAACTAGTGATGGGAACCCTGGATCTTTTAAGAGAACCAGTTCTTACGGCCAGCTGTAACACACCAAACATGGCTTTTTTGCTAGATTGGTTATCTACACTGAACAAAAATATAAACGCAACACTTTTGTCTTTGCTCCCATTTTTCATGAGCTGAACTCAAACAGTTGAAACTTTTTCTACATACACCAAACACCCATGACCCTCAAATATTATTCTGAAATCTGTCTACATGTGTGTTCTCGAGCACTTTTTCTTTACCAAGATAATCCATCCCACCTCAAAGGTGTGGCAAATCAAGGGGCTGATTAGACAGCTTGAATAATGTAAAGGAGTGCCTTAGACTGCCCTTCATATTTCAAACTTTGCTAACTTTATTAATAACTCTGCTAAATAGTCATAGCCATAGTTCAAATTATTGATAAACTTGTGTTAAATCATCTAATCTGACATCTTTCCAGACATGCAGAGCCAATGCCCCTCAGGAGCTGGGATTCCAGAGGATTTCAATGAGAAAGAGAAAACAGGTGAGTGACTTCCACATTCACGTGATTGTATGAGTTGTTGTGACTCCTGGTCTATCCACTAACTATATTGGCAGACATCACTTAAAGAGCAAGTCACCCCCAAATCAACTTATTTTTTGCTGATAAACTGTATCAATGAGTGTCTAATAGTGCTGTAGAAATGTGTGGTCATTATTAGGGCTTTTTAGTGCATCTTATTTAGAGTTTAAAAATTCAGCCTAAGACAGTCCACCAGTCAGCAAGCTGGGTTCTCTGTCGGAAACCTACACTCACCCTTTCCCTCCGTGATTATGGGAAATGTCCGTTCTCTTCTCAATAAGATGGACAAGCTCACAGCACTGACCAGGTTGCAGCAAGACTACAGACAGTGTAGTCTGTTATTTTTTAAGGAAACGTGGACGGATGAGCTCATAGCTGACTGAGGTTTCACTGGGAGAATTTAAACTCACGTGGGCCGACAGGAGCGTGGAGTGTGAAGCGCAAGAGTGGGGGTCTGGTTGTGTTTAATAATGAGAAATGGTGCAACCCAGCGTATGTGACCATTAAAAATAAACTCTGCACAAATGACATTGAGTTACTGGCTGTTGGTCTCCAGCCCATTACATCCCGAGAGAGTTTTCACATGTAATTGCGCCAGACGCCCCTCCCTGGGTTGCCACCTTACCGCGGTGAGAGGGTTTGTGTGTCCCAATGATCCTAGGAGCTATATTGTCTGAGGCTTATGCCTCTGGTAGGGTCACTCATGGCAAACAGGTCCTAGGTGAGGGATCAGACAAAAAGCAGCCCAATGACCCATTATGATGAATAATATAAATTGACACAGTGTTCACTCACCCGGATGTGGGTCACCGGGGCCCCACTCTGGAGCCAGGTCTGGAGGTGGGGCACGTCGGCGAGCGCCTGGTGGCTGGGCTTTCACCCAGCCCGGCCGGGCACAGCCCAAAGAGAAAAGGTGGGTCCCCCTTCCAATGGGCTCACCACTTGTGGGAAGAGCCAAAGGGGTCAGGTGCAATGTGTGATGGGTGGAAGCCGAAGGCTCAGATGCGGTCTGATCCTTGGCTACAGAAGCTGGCTCTTGGTACGTGGAATGTCACCTCGACTAGATATAGTCGGACTCACATCAATACATGGGTCTGGCTCTGGAACCAGATTCCTTGAGAGGGGCTGGACACTCTACCACTCTGGAGTTGCCCCCACTGAGAGGCGCCGAGCGGGGTGGGCATACTAGTTGCCCCCCATCTTGGTGCCTGTACATTGGGGTTTACCTTGGTGGACGAGAGGGTAGCCTCCCTCTGCCTACGTGTGGGGGGACGGGTTCTGACTGTTGTCTGTGCTTATGCACCAAACTACAGTTCAGACTACCCACCCTTTTTGGAGTCCTTGGAGGAGGTGCTGGAAAGCACTCCTTCTGGTGACTCCCTCATTCCGCTGGGGGACTTTAACGCTCACGTGGGCAACGACAGTGAGACCTGGAGAGGTGTGGTGGGGAGGAACGGCCCCCCTGATCTGAATTTGAGTGGTGTTTGTTGTTGGATATCTGTGCTCGTCATGGCTTGTCTATAACTAACACAATTTTCAGACATAAAGGTGTCCATATGTGCTCTTGGCACCAGGATACCTTAGGCCGCAGCTCGATGATCGACTTTGTTGACATTTCATCTAATCTGCAACCGCATGTCTTGGACACTCGGGTAAAGAGAGAGGCGGAGCTGTCAACTGACCACTACCTGGTGGTGAGTTGGCTTTGATGGTGGGGGAAGATGCCGGTCAGACCTGGCAGGCCCAAAGGTATTGTGAGGGTCTTCTGGGAACGTCTGGCAGAGTCTCCTGTCAGAAGAAGTTTAAATTCTCACCTCGGACAGAACTTCCAAAATGTTCTGGGGGAGGCGGGGGACATGGAGTCCGAGTGAGCCATGTTCCGTGCTTTCATTGTCGAGGTGGCTGACCGGAGCTACGGCCGCAGGGTTGTTGGTGTCTGTCGTGGTGGCAACCCCCAAACCCACTGGTGGACACCAACGGTTAGGGATGCCGTCAAGCTGAAGATAAAGAGTCCTATAGGGTCTGTTTGGCCTGTGGGACTCCAGAGGCAGCTGATGGGTACCGGCAGGCCAAGCGGAATGCGGCCCAGGTTGTCACAGCATGCTGCATAGTGTTGGAACCCAAGTTTTTTTCATTTTTATTCGTGTTTTTTTAGTGGTCGAAGGTTACATTACTAGATTACTGCCTATGTGTATATACATGTACCTATATCATAATTTTCTTCTGATTATCCCCTTAAGTGTTGGTGCTGCTGTAACAAGTGAATTTCCCCACTGTGGGATCAATAAAGTGTATTCTATTCTATTCTTCCTAAAGGATTATTAGGAACACCATACTAATACGGTGTTTGACCCCCTTTTGCCTTCAGAACCGTCTTAATTCGACGTGGCAGTAGCCACATTTACATGCGCATATTTCATCAGATTGAACGCCCAATCAGATAAAAAATTCTGCATGTAAACATGTCAATCAAATATTCTGATCCGATTTGGCCCGATCGGATTGAAATTTCAATTCGATTGAGGGAGGTGGTTTTGTCCGATCATCATTCTGATTGACGTGCATGTACACAGCTATTCGGATTGTTGGGGTAAAATAATGCCCACTGCGCATGTGTGCAACAGCGAGCGGGCCTCTCCGCTGTCATTTGGACTGCCTGACTTCAAAAATGACAGCGTAATCAATGAGCAGAGGCTTTTAAATTTGATAACAAGCCGTCCCGTTTCAGTAATATTTAATTCAGAACTTGCATTTTGTAGAAGTAAAATAAAAATCTGATTATTGCACAAATCACTCGACAAACATTTTCAAATCTGTACTGGAAATACCCAAGTTTATTGCGGAGGTTGCAGCGCACAGATCCCCGTTTCTGTCAGCTTTGAACGCAGCAACTTCTGCAGCAGGTGATGGAGACGCCAGAGACGCTTCTAAAGAAGACAGGATAATATCAGTTTTACAGACCTGATTGGAGGCTGATGTTGGGTAGGAAAACATCCTCGGTTAAATATTCTGGACAACAGTAAAGTCCGTGTTAAAAGCACATTAACGCAGATGACCTGAGATGCGGTTCGTTAATGATGAACACAGGCTTCTAAACTTTCTGAACGTCTTCTGTTGTTTTATTTTAAACAGATTTTTCTCAACAGTTTCAGCTGATTGTCACATGTTAAGAATAATAAGCCACAACAGAGCTCAGTAATAAAACATGAGTCTAAACGCCCCCATCCCCACTCTGCGCCACAGTGCAGCGCAACGGCATATCTGTCACTTCAGACCCACGGACCAGCTGATCAAGAGGCAGAAACATAACCCTCCCTTATTTTAATCAACAATAAAAATGCAGCAAAGCATAGATCTGCAGTTATTCACTGAAGAAAACGTAACTTCTATGAGCAAAATAAAAATATTGAAGTGAATAAATGAATCGGGAAAGCAGGAAGAATTGTTATTTCTGTTTTTACATTTTTCATTTCGTTTCATGGTGTTTGTTTACAATTTTTCTTCCGGGAAAGGCAACTTTCTGCGCATGCTCAACCTATTTAATCGGATTAAATGCTTGATGCATTTATAAGCACGGCATGATCAGATCATTTCAGTTTGTGTCCATGTGAACAGTGATTCAGAAATTCCGATCAACCAAGATTTGAATTGGATTGAGGAAATTTGGTGCATGTAAACATGGCTACTGAGTCAACAAGTTGCTGAAAGCATTCTTTAGAAATGTTTGCTCATATTTATAGGATAGCATCTTGCAGTTGATGGAGATGTGTGGGATGCACATCCAGGGCACGAAGCTCCCGTTCCACCACATCCCACAGATGCTCTATCGGGTTTAGATCTGCTGACTGTGGGGGCCATTGTAGTACAGTGAACTCATTGCCATGTTCAAGAAACCAATTTCAAAAGATTGGAGCTTTATGACATGGTGCATTATCCTGCTGGAAGTAGCCATCAGAGGATGGGTACATGGTGGTCATGAAGGTATGGACATGGTCAGAAACAATGCTCAGGTAGCCTGTGGCATTTAAACCATGCCCAATGGGCACTAAGGGGCCTAAAGTGTACCAAGAAAACATCCCCCACACCATGACACCACCACCACCAGCCTGCACAGTGGTAACAAGGCATGATGGATCCATGTTCTCATTCTGTTTACACCAAATTCTGACTACCATTTGAATGTCTCAACAGAAATCCAGACTCATCAGACCAGCAACATTTTTCCAGTCTTCAACCATCATATTTTGGTGATCTTGTGCAAATTGTAGCCTCTTTTTCCTATTTGTAGTGGAGATGAGTGGTGCCCCGTGGGGTCTTCTGCTGCTGTAGCCCATCCACCTCAAGGTTGTGCATGTTGTGGCTTCACAAATGCTTTGCTGCATTCCTCGGTTGTAACGAGTCACTTCAGATATTAAATAAATAAATATCATAATAATAATAATAATATACGGAATATTAAACATTGAACTAAACTGAATACGAGTTCAACGTACCATTACACCCCTAGTAATGATTGTGGGTTGAGACACCTGAATCAGAATGCGAAAACAGTATGACTCAGTGGATTTAAAAATACACACAGATGATGGGAAAAATCAGAGTATGGGGAAGCTGGCAACTCCTCCTTTTGTTGCATTTTTAAAATGGGAAGTGTGGGTGAAGTTATAGTCTGGGGTGACTTGCTCTTTAAGGAAATTATTACTGTTATGTCTATAGCTTGACATTAAATCTATTTTTCTTTTCTTTGCAGCATCTTTCAAAAGATAAAAGCTGAGAAACAAAAGCAATGGGCTCGACCAAAGTTCTGAAGGTCAGTCAATGATCAATGGCTTACTGAGATTGGCGTGCCTCCGTTTCTTTTTATAATGCTTTAAGTGGATTTTTTTTTCATAAATTTCATATCACTCTAGATGAACCCACCTTGTGCACCCAAAGGCCTACAGGGAAATCAAAGAAGAAGCAGACCAACAAAGGAACACCCACCCATTCCCCTTCCCTGCTCACTGTCCATGGTTTTACTCAAGGTTTGGTTCAGATTTTCAAATATTTAAGTAACTGAAAATGGCTAACATGCAATTCATTCTCCCCATAAAAGACTGAAAGAGATTACCTTAAAAAAAGAAACTGAGGTTTGACATTTTACAACAAGTATGAACAACTTAACTACTTAGGGGCAGCAGTAGCTCAGGAGGTAGAGAGGATTGTCCAGAAACCGGAAGGTTGCAGGTTTGATCCCAGCTCCAACCAGAGAGTGCTGCTGTCGTGGCCTGCTGAACACTGGCGCCACCGGTCCCTCTGACCACCACCAGCAGGCAAAGCGAGTTAAGTGCCTTGCCCAAGGAAACAACAGCAGCAGATTGTGTTGTGAAGCGCCTTGGGGGCTTTAGAAGGCGCTATACCTATACAGGCCATTTATTCCCATTAATTTCACATTGTTGTCCTTATTATAAATACAGAAATGTATTTGGGATGTTTGAGTTCACATAAACCTTTATAGAAAGATGGAAGTTCATCAAATCATTACCATATTAACATTTTAGGCACAAAGATACTTGACTTCAGTTTTCCTTCAGTTAGATGCTAAACTTTTTCTGTTTATCAACAACAATTATAGATCTGTTGATACATTTCCTAGCTACAATTCAGAGTCTAAAAAAACCTTGTATTAAGCCATATAATCTAAAATGTTTTTGTAGATCATCCAGATATGATGAGCCAAGAACCTTCAGGAGCTGAGTGGTCTAAGGAGTCAAATGGAAAGGACAAAACAGGTGCGTGGTTTCCACATTCACACACACGGACAGAGATGTTTTGCTTTCGGACTTCTCAGTCTCCTGGGGAGTGTTGTAAAGCAGTTCCCCGCCAGGACAACAGGGCGTAGCACTGCTCTGTGTTATCCTGCCCAAGATAGTGCATTTAATATTATATAATAAACACAGAAACTGTGCAAATAACAAAAGTCAGCAGGGATAAAAAAGCTGTTTACTTGGTTTGTGGTGATCTTGGTAGTTATAAAGTTTAACAGCTGCAGAAAGGAAGGATTAATGACAAAATGCCTTCATACACCTAGAATGCGTAAGTCTGCTACTGAAGGAACTCTCCAGCTCCGTTGTCAGCTTCACGCTTGGGATGGGAAACATTGTCTAACCCCCAAATTCCACTACCTCCGCTCCGACACGAACGCCGGAGCAAAATCGGTCCCGTTGTAGTCAATCAGAGCAATTCCACTACTGCGGCTGTGCTCCGGCAGTGCGGCGCCGTGCGCCGTCCTCTGTTCCGGCGTCCGGCAAAAATAGAATCGATCCTATTTTCGCCGGACGCCGGAGCACCTCCGCAGTCAATGGACAGAAATCACCATCGCCCAACAGGAAAAGGAGCAAGCACAACTTCCGTTTTTCACAATAAATCGATAAACAAAAGGCGTTTTTTGTTTCATATGCACAGGTTTAACAACTTTTAACAACTATCAGTGGCGGCTGAAGTTTAAATGCACAAAAGTTAGCCATAAATACAGTTTTCACTATCAAAGTAGTCACACTTTGTTGATCCAAACACTGCTGATCTCTACACAAATGATGGGCAGATTAAACAGTTCATGCCGATGCTTCTCCAACACAACGGGTGTTTGGATCTAACTTCCGCGTTTATTGCTCAGACTGTATCGCAAGATCTTGAAAATCCCGCGCATGCTTGTTTGCCCACCTCAGGTCTCCGCACCGGAGCGGAGCCGTTGTAGAGCGCATACCGGTAAAAATTGAGTTCGGAAGCGAGCGGCTGCGGAAGGCGGGGGCGGACCGCAGCGGAGCGGAGGTAGTGGAATTTGGGGGTTACAGACGTTTGAAAAACTTGTAGTAAGTAATTTAATTTCAAATATTTCTGTAGGTCCAACCACGCTGAACCAAGGTCCTTCAGGAACTGGAATCTAAGCCCAGATATAAGCCCAGTAGCTATGTATTTGTGTTTATAAATGTAGGTGTCTTTTTGGGGTTGCTGCGTGATGTTCTTGTGCATTGCAGCAGCGCCATGCAGCAGTTTGTTGTCGTAATGTAGTCCCCGGTCTAAAATAACTCCTGTATTCCTTCCTGTTATTTCATTTGCAGGCTGTGATTATTGAGGTCACCAAAAAATAGGATCCTTACAGAGTATTTTTCATCACTTTTTAATATGAAATGCAAGCTAAAGCTAACCAAATATTGCCATCTTAGGAAATTGACTGGGCTGGTTAGAAAAGGGGTTTTCCCACTGATCCAAGTCTGTAACCTTGCACTGCAAGATGAATTTTTGCAAGATTTGGAGTTTTCTGGATGGACCGGACACGGACTGAGCTGTGAGCTCCCGGCTGCTGAGTTTTGTGTGTAGGGAGGGGCGGGTGCTCTATTTGACTGGCCAATCACAGAGCGTGAAGACAGTCAGTTACCCAATGAGGATTTTCCTTCAGCACGATTACAGATATTTACGATTTTTACTCGTTTCACTTGTCAAAAATGCTTTATCCGTACCGGATACTCTTCTGAAACGAGTATCCGGCTCATCCCTAATCCAAACAGTCAGAATTGAAAACACAACCTAAGCATGATGTCATGACTTTAACTAATAAAAGCATGTTTCTTTTTTTTTTTTTTTGTTACAGACATGGATCAACAGGATTTAACCTCTAAGAAATTCAACCGAAAGATTTGGAGCAAATCTGGGAAAGAAGCGGTTTGGCAACAGCTTGGTCGGTACATCACTCTTGAAAGAGTTCCTGGTAAAATGCTGTGTGTGAAAGCACTCAGTACAGAGACAGCACTTTAGAACAGAAGTTGGAAAGATGTAAAAAACTGCATCTATAACCACATCCCTGATCAAAAAAGAAAAAGGCTGTAGTTTTTGCGTTAAAAGCAGCAGGAGCTGAGTTAATGCATGTAATGTTACAAGCAGAGCATTTAATGATACCTAGTTATTTTTATTTTATGAGACATTGGAAATATGTTAAAAACTATAATTATAACAGCATTGCAGATCAAAAATGTTACAAGCAGAGCATTTTATGGTACCTAAAGATATTTAAATTTTATTACATGTTGGAAAGATGTTAAAAACTATAAGTAGAACAGCATCACAGTAGCATTGCAGGGATTAATCGTTTTGACTATTAACCCTGGTTAACCCCAAGTAAATAGATCTTCAAAACCATCAAACTAAAACAAAAAGACAATAGCGTAACTCGTAAGTACAAAAACAAAACTGAAACTGAACACGCGCCCGCAGCAGAAGCATGATCAGTGAAAACAACCATCGGGACTCCTCCATTTCTACCTCGGAAGAGGTTGAATTCTCCTGTGTGGGAATAGTTTAGATATATTAGATATCATCCCACACAGGAGACTTCAACCGCTTCTTAGGTGGAAATGGAGGAGTCCCGAAGGTTGTTGTCACTGGTTCTGCTTCTGCTGCGTGAGCACGTTCAGTTTCACTTTTGTCTTTGTCCATGAGGGTCATGCCATAGTCCTTTTTTTATTGTTGGTGTGGTAGACATCTTTAAGGGGGGTTATCAGGGGTTAATAGTCAAACTGGTTAATCTCTGCAAGCCTACATCACAGCTCAAAAAAGAAAAAAAACTGTAGTTGATATGTTTTATTTTAAAAGCAGCAGAAGCTGAGTTAATGCATGCAATGTTAAATGCAGAGCATTTAATGGTACCTAAAGTTGTATTAATTTATTAGAAGTTAGAAATATGTCAGAACTACTAGTAGAGCAGCATCACAGCTCAAAAAGAAAATAAAAACAATATTTGAAAATTTTCTTTTTCAAAGCAGAAGGATCTGAGTTCATTTATGTAATTTTATGCACCGTGTTTACTTTATTTGGTATCTAAAATTTATATTTTATCAGCAGATGAATTAGAAAGATTTTAAAAACTGCATGTATAACTGCATTTTAGCTCAAAAAAGAAAAAAGTAAACATATTCAATTTTAAAAGAAACAGGAGCTGAGTTCATATATGTATGTAATGTTTAAAGGTGCCTAAAGTTTATTTTAGTTCAACTGTTGCAGTCACAATTGCAAAGTTTAATGAAATCCTTTTTACTTCAATAAAATAACTACTTTGTAGTAATTTCTGTCATGTTTCCTGTTATTTATGTTCTGTAACTAAGATTTACAGGGAGCTGCACGGCTGAATGCAGTTTGAATCCAGCTTAGTCTTTATGGTGGTTGCATATTTTTTCTATGTATGTCTGGGTTCCTCCAGGATAATTTGATACCTTTCACCATCCAAAATCATTCTATGTTTATTAGTCGATGAGCCGATACCAATATTTGATATTAATATCACTGCTTCTGCAGTACTGCAGACGTTGTACCGATCTGTCGTGGTGAAGAGAGAGCTGAGCCAGAAGGCAAAGCTCTCGATTTACCGGTCGATCTATGTTCCTACCCTCACCTATGGTCATGAGTTTAGGGTAGTGACTGAAAGAACGAGATTGCAGATACAAATGGCCAAAAATAGTTTTCTCCGCAGGGTGGCTGGGCTCTCCCTTAGAGACCCGCTGCTCCTCCACATCGAGTGGAGCCAGTTGAGGTGGCTAGGGCTTCTGGTTAGGATGCTTCCTGGACGCCTCCCTGGTGAGGTTTTCCGGGCACGTCCAACCGGGAGAAGGCCTAAAGGAAGACCCAGGACACGCTGGAGATACTATGTCTCATGGCTGGCCAGGGAACGCTTTGGGATTCCCCCGGAGGAGCCGGCCCAAGTGGCTGGGGAGAGGGAAGTCTGGGCTCCCTTGTTTAGGCTACTGCCCCCACGACCCAACCCCGGATAAGCGGACGACAATGGATGGATGGATGGATGATATCACTGTTATGGCCGATAGCTGATATTTGCTGATACAGATATACTGACATGCTTCTAAAATAAGCAAATTTTGCACTGATTGAAAATTATTAAAGCTGAATTTACGTTGTTATGTACACACACCACACACATTTACGCCTATGAGAATATTAAAATAACTGTCACATGGCTAAACAAATACACACCACCCCCCTAACCATCTGAAACAGATAAACAAATGGAAACAAAATGGAAAAAAAATATTTGTTGTTAATATTGACCAAGTTTTATTTATCGGACCAATACCAATATGTTAAAAATAACTTATTGATGCAGATTGTGCATCCCTAATGTTGATGATTGTCTGTCCTTTTAGTTTGCAGCATTTGTGTGGTGCCTCGATGAACTGTTACCTGCTCAGACTTCACCGCACAACTTGGAATAGGGAATTACAGAAAAAATCCTTATCTAATATTATTTAAGCTAAATCCTGGTGAAGGTTCTCCGAAATGCAGTTTGTGTTATTCCTTGTAGATTTGGGTTGAGGCAACTGAGTTGTTTTGGTTATTTGAATGTTTCACTTCTTATTTGAGGAGCTTTGTCAATTCTGACCAGAATAAGGAGAGGGATAAGCTCCAGAATCACACTACAATACTTGGGCTTGATGCTCCACTCATTCCACTTTAATATTACAAAGCTCTTTGGATTAGAAGCAAAACATTTTGAAAGTATAAAGAAAATCTAGCAACTTACACACTAAAACAAGAAAATAATTAAGCTAATATATTTTATTTTTTCTTAAGAAAAACTAAACAAAAATTTTAAACTGATAAGAGTATTTTATAGGCAAACATTAAAAGCTTCTCTGTGATTCAAGATGTTAAAATTTTACTTTGCTATTGCCAATTTGATAATAAACAAGTGTTACATATTTGTAAAAACAGTTTGATTAGTTAAAATTGCTTTGAAAGTTTAAGAATTTTTAATTTTTCATGTGGAAATTTAATCAAAAATTGGTTAGGGAGGAAATACAGAATTGTGAGGACATCACCTAATCTGCCTAGCAACGGTTGTGGGTCCTCACAAGTACACCAAATAAATATTTTTTTTACTTTGATTTTTCAACAATTTGAAGTGAGATTCTGACTCTTCACTCACATCTAGTGTCAGATTTTCATGGCCCAACACTACAGCTATGCAGGAAGTGGATGTCCTCACAAAGATAGGTAGGGTCAGTGTCCTCACAAGTATATATATACATGTATGTGTGTGTGTGTGTGTGTGTGTGTGTGTTTGCCGTTTCATGATTTACACGTAAAACTTCGATATCAACACACATGAGAAAACCCTCAGGTGGCCAAGGTCGTGAATACGGTTCTAACGGTAAACTCATTAGAACGTAACAGAAACTGTGACCACAGCGACCATTAAAACCAGTAACCAGTACCCCTGAAACAGAAAGGAGGGGGGTTGGGGGTGTGCAGGCGTACCCAGAGGTAGTAGGTGAACTGCAGGGCAAAGATGGCGATGCCTTCGTTGTCGAAGGAGCCGGCCACCGAGCGGGAGATGTAGCCTGGAACGATGGCGATGAAGCACGCTGCGAGCAGCCCCGCCCCCTGGTTCCACAGCTCTCGCGTCAGCAGGAAGGTGGAGATGGACGTCAGGCCACTAAACACCGGCGCCAGGAAGACGCACACATCCCGGATGTGGACGGTGACGTGCAGCAGGTTCAGCACGTAGTGGATGAGGCCCGCCGTCAGCATGAGGCCCGGGTACACCTGGAAGAGAAGAAGGACCGGACCCGTCAGTGCTGAGCGGCTACAGGAGCCCGCAGGTCCAAACTAAGCGTTGGTGCGTAGAAATAAGGCCATGGAGAACGATCGCTGCCATACGACGCACACGGGACTCAAGCGAAGGTTTCGACACTTTTTAACTTGTCCTGCTGACCTCGGGACTCCTGCAGGTGTAGCCTTTGGGTTAGCGTCTTTGTGGACTACATGGGGGTGCAGTTGGTGGTACTGGTGTTTCCAACTCAAACACACAAGTGTGTGTAGATGGCATGTTCTCCCTGTGCACTCATGGGTTCCTCTCTCAGGGTGGGGAGTGTCCCTAGGTGTCCCTGTGATGGACCGGGCCTGTGCAGGAGTCCTCTGGTGCTGGAGGTAGACACCGGCTCCCAGAGACCCTCACAGGAGGCGGTTATGGAAAACGAGTGAAACACAACCTAGATCAGCTGAAAGAGAGTTACCCGTGGTCGAGTCTTGAAATGTCACTGCTGACGGCTAAAAGGAGAAGAAAAAGGGCTGGAGGTCTTCAGACCCACCAGATCACACTCCAGGACTTAAAGAAGGAATACTTACTGTTCCTCCGACAATCCTGCCCAGGGGGTACCAGGCTCTCTCATCAAACCAGTTCAGGAACTCGTAGAAACCCTTGGTGGTGAGATGGTGAGTGGCCCTGTAGTTGAACCTGGAGCATGACAGAGGCGGGCTGTTAGACGTCTCCCTACACTGGATAATCCCGCCCTGGCCACCTAATACAGCGTTAGTAACTATTAGTTCACAGTGATAACGGGGAAAAGTGATGTAACAGCTAATAATCACTGATGGTGTACTGATACATCCAACTCTGAAAACTGCTGTTGTAGAAGTAAACAGCCACACAGCAACCCGCTCCTCCTGCGGTGTGAAAGGTCTCCTGATGTTTGTGCACCTAGCAGGACCTTACTCGTTAAGCTGCAGCTCGGAGCGAAACATTAGACGTGGATCCGACGCAGCCTCCTGGCTCGACCTTGTGAAGGAGGTCCAGCTCACCGGCGAGTCTTTTAGTGCAGCAGACAGAAACAGAACTAATGAAGCTGTGTGCATGTTTACCAGCCTGAACCCAAAGCCTGCTGCCACCGCCGACCCACACAGTCAGCTCTAATGGCTCCATCCGGAGGTTCTGAGGAAAGGGGATCATTAACGAGCCACATCAAAGAGGGTTTGTCAGAGAGAGAGAGGAGGATGCACAGAGCGGGCAGCAGGGGGTTCGCACCATCGGTAGCTCTCCGACGACGTCGTCTGAGCTACAAACCTACAAAGTGCTGCAGCTGCACAAGGAATCACCATCAGGCTGGAACCAGGAGTCAGAACAAGTTCCTGTTGCTTCAGAAAGACCCTCACACACACACACACACACGCACACATACACACACACACACACACACACACACACACACACACACACACACACACACACACACGCACACACACACACACACACACACAATCACACACACACACACACACACACAATCACACATGCACACACAGACACACACACACACACACGCACGCACACACACAATCACACATACACACACACACACACACACACAATCACACACAAACACACACACAATCACACATGCACACACAAACACACACGCACGCGCACACACACACACACACACACAATCACACACACACACACACACACAATCACACACACACACACACACACACACACACACACACACACACACACACACACACACAATCACACACACACACACACACACACAATCACACACAAACACAGACACAATCACACATGCACACACAAACAATCACGCACGCGCACACACACACACACGCGCACAATCACACATGCACACACAAACACACAATCACGCACGCACACACACACATGCGTGCGCACAAACACACACGCACGCGCACACACACACACAAACACACACACAATCACACATGCACACGCACACACAAACACACACACACAATCACGCATACACACGCACACACACACACACGTGCGCCAAACACACACGTACGCGCACACACACACACAAACACACACACACAATCACACACGCACACACAAACACGCAATCACGCACGCACATGCACACACACACACACACACACACACACACACACACTCACACGCACACACACACTCACATGCACACACACATGCACACTCACACACACACACACTTTTAGAAATCGGGAATGTTTTCCCACTCTTGGACTTGAGCCTGAGATCTGTGGACTCAGTGGTCTCCTTTAAAGAGCAGCTGAAGACTCGTCTGTTCAGGCTTTGGTGTGACCTTCGTGCGACCTCGTGCTGAGTCTTCCTCACTAGCTTCGCTTCACGCTGCCGTTTCTACTGATGAATCCCGCGGTTTCTTCCTCCACATTTTCATTTCCCAATTTTTTAAATCATTTTTTATTTTTGTCCTTGTGAAGCACCTTGTGACTGGGGTCCTTTATAAAAAGTCTTCTGTAATTATGTAGAACCTTCTAGAACCCCCCAAGGTGCTTTATAAAACTCTCCTTCACACACGGATGGTGAACAAGCTACATCATCACCACAGCTGCCCTGGGCTGTGCTGACAGCCGTACACAGGCACCGCCGGCCCTCTGACCACCATCAGCAGGCAAGGAGGGTGAAATGTTTTGCCCAAGGACACTACGGCAGCGACAGACTGAGTGGCGTGGAACCCGCACCCCTCCAGGTATGTGGCAGGCACGTGTTGGTGAGAGGACAGTAATGGACAATGAAGAGCTGTAGGGACAAATTTCACGCCACGCCACACAGACTTGGTTCCCAGACAGCGACAGGCCGCCCGTGTCCATGTAGTCAGGCTAACGCAGGATGGGCAACAAGCCGCCTTCAGCACAGCCTGGTCTGAGAGGGACCGTCACAGCTCCAAGGGTTACCCTAACCCGTCACAATACCACTCCAGTCATGTAGCTAAACCTGTTGTTGTCTGCTTCTCCATTTGTGTTGTTTGGCAGGTGATTCGTGCTGCAGCCCAGCGGCAGGTTGCTTTTAGCCCAGGCTGAGGCATGAAGACGGCTGCAGCCATGAGGGAAGGTTCGCAGCTGCTGCTGAATCAGCACCATTTACACAGAGAAATGCAGACGATGCTGCACTCCTGGTAAAACCACTCACCTGTCCAGCCCACAGGTATGCTATGCATGTTTCAGGTAACCCACGTATGTAGTGATGACAACAATCAGGTACCTGGGTTGGAACCAGCAACCTGCTCATGTAACCAGGGAACCGTCCCGTTTATTAAACCCTAGATCCCACTGAGCTGCAGCCAGCGTGCACCACCTGAGCCTGCAGGTGAACGGACTGCTGCTGCGCAGGTGAACGTAACAGAGGTGACCTGTGAGTCATAGGAGCATCAACAACGCGCTCAGGAGCAACTTCCGGCTCCGCCCACATCGGTGTCACTAAACAATCTAAATCAACGTAAAACGAAAGGAGAGCCGGGCCTCCCATCGCCCTCGCCCGGGGAGGGGGGACTCACCAGGGGTCAAACTCGTGGATGATGCTCTCGAAGCGGATGACAGCGAAGAGCCTGGAGCTGAATCCCGCCAGCCAGGCCAGGAACAGGATGGTGAAGGACAGCAGGGACTGCCATCCGGCCGGCTGCGACAGGCCGCCGGACAGACCTCCTGCCCCGGTACCGACTCTCTCCGTCTCCGCCGCGCTGCTGCGTCCGTTCCCCGAGACCGACGCTGCGGAGTTCAGCTGGGATTTGTGTTTGTTTTCGGAAACCGGGTGATGCTCCGCCATATTCCCATACGTCACTCCCGTAGTGGCAGCTAGTGATCCCCCCACCCCCCTGTCTTCTTCCCTCTGCCACGATCCACGTCCCGGAATTCCCAGAGCCACGTCTGTTTCCCAGCGAGTCCCGGAGCAGCTAAACGGATGCAGACAGGAACATCACCGCTCTGAAGCGACACACGCGGCTGCGGGAGCAGTTCCCCCTTCCTAGTAGCTGAATGAGGAGGCGGGAGCTGCTGGCGGAGCAGCCTCTCACAGCGAGACAGGTACGACCAGGACAGGACCAATCACAGCACACGGTACGTGACGGACATGCGCTACGACCAATCACAAATCCGCAGCAACTTCAAGAGGGGAGGGGCACGAAGAGGGAACCGCATGAGCGCTCGTGTCCGTGCCAGACAGTCTGGGATCACGTGATTACCTTTTTTTATTCTTATTTACATTTGAAATCAAAGTTTTTCTTGTTTTCAATTGTAATTATGATATTTAGTGTTGGTAGCGCACTGCTTTCCCCCTGAGGCGCCGGATGGTGGACCAGAATCTCCTCGAAGCCGTACAGAAGTCTTGCTCCATGGTCTCACCGACCTCCTCCCATCTGGGTTCTTGCCTCGGCGACCACCCGAGCTGCGTTCCGCTTGGACTGCCGGTACCCGTCAGCTGCCTCTGGAGTCCCACAGGCCAAAAAGACCTGATAGGACTCTTTCTTCAGCTTGACAGCATCCCTAACCGCCAGTGTCCACCAGCGGGTTCGGGGGTTGCCACCATGACAGGCACCAACGATCCTTTGACCACAGCTCCGGTCGGCCGCCTCAACAATGGAGGCACTGAACAGGGTCCATTCAGACTCAATGTCCCCCGCCTCCCCCGGAACATTTTGGAAGTTCTGTGGAGGTGGGAATTGAAGCTCCTTCTGACAGGAGACTCTGCCAGATGTTCCCAGCAGACCCTCGCGATACATTTGGCCCTGCCTGGTTTGACCGACATCCTCCCCACCATCTGAGCCAACTCACCACCAGGTAGTGGTCAGTTGACAGCTCCGCCCCTCTCATCACCCGAGTGTCCAAGACTTGCGGCCGCAGGTCAGAAGAAACAACAACAAAGTCGATCATCGAGCTGCGGCCTAAGGTATCCTGGTGCCTAGAGCACATACGGACACCTTTATGGGGACGGTGTGCTACTGACCTCTACTCAGGACGTTGTGGATCGTGGGCAGAATACTTCGAAGACCTCCTCAATCCCACCGACACGTCTTCCAGTGAGGAAGCAGAGTCTGGGGACTTTGGGTTGGCCTCTCAAATCTCTGGTGCTGAGGTCACTGAGGTGGTTAAAAGCTCCTCTGTGGCAAGGCTCCAGGGGTGGATGAGATCCGCCCAGAGTTCCTTAAGGCTCTGGATGTTGTGGGGTGGTGTTGGCTGACGCGGCTCTGCAATATCGCGTGGCCATCGGGGGCAGTCCCACTGGACTGGCAGACCGGGGTGGTGGTCCCCTTATTTAAAAAGGGGGACCGCAGGGTTTGTTCCAAGGGGGATCACACTCCTGAGCCTTCCTGGTAAGGTCTATTCAGGGGTTCTGGAGAGGAGGGTCCGTCGGATTGTTGAACCTCAGATTCAGGAGGAGCAATGTGGTTTTCGTCCTGGCCGTGGAACACTGGACCAGCTCCATACCATTAGGGGGATCCTGGAGGGTGCGTGGGAATTTGCCCAACCAGTCTACATGTGTTTTGTGGATTTGGAGAAGGCGTTGGACCGTGTTCCTCGGGGGGCCCTGTGGGGGGTACTCCGGGAGTATGGGGTACCAGGCCCTCTGATACGGGTCGCTGTATGACCGGTGTCAGAGCTTGGTGAAGAGAGAGCTGAGTCAGAAGGTGAAGCTCTCAATTTACTGGTGGATCTACGTTCCTACCCTCACCTATGGTCAAGAGCTTTGAGTAGTGACCGAAAGAACGAGATCGTGGACACAAGCGGCCGAAATGAGTTTTCTCCGAAGAGTGGCTGGGCTCTCCCTTAGAGATAGGGTGAGAAGCTCGGTCATTTGGGAGGGGCTCGGAGTAGACCGGCTGCTTCTCCACATCAAGAGGAGCCAGTTGAGGTGGCTCGGGCATCTGGTCAGGATGCCTCCTGGACGCCTCTCTGGTAAGGTTGTCCGGGCACATCCAACCGGGAGCAGACCTAAAGGTAGACCCAGGATACGCTGGAGGGACTATTCCCATCTGTACCTGGTCGGCCCGGATAGCATAACTTGCTTACATATCTTGGTGGCCTGCCTTTTTTCAGGGTGCAACAAGACTGTTTTTCAGCCCTCTCTCTGAGGTAGTCTGCTTCAGGGTGACCAGGGCCAACACACCCACTGCTGAGTGATAAGCCGGCTTATCAGTCAGCAAATTCACACCTTCCATTAGAGCAAGCCTCTGATTGGTGGGTAGAATCAGCCCACATGGGCTTAAGGTATGCTCAATTCATTATCATTCATTATCATGCTGATTACCTAGAAGCTGAAAATGTCTCTGACTGCATTCCTTGCATACCCAAGCAAGGATGTGTGGAATCAACCGGGCCAGGCTGGGGCCGACTGGAGCTATCCGGGCAGGGCCGACCAGGTACAGATGAGAATGGCCATTTTGTCTCTCGCCTGGCCAGGGAACGCCTTGGGATTCCCCCGGAGGAGCTGGCCCAAGTGGCTGGGGAGAGGGAAGTCTGGGCCTCTCGCCTTATGGGCTCGACACACGGGAGGCGACATCGCCTCTCCTCCATTCATTTTCAATGAGACGTGCGCAACAAAGCGATAATCGCGGGTCTCCCTCCTACTAAGCGAAACGCGAAAAACGTGCGTGTGAAATTTTGCACTCGTGCACGTGCCGTGCACAGACGACCCAGTGACGCGATCCCAGAAAGTTGAAACATTTTCAACTTTTCATCGCTGTCGCTCGGACGAGGACCAATCAACGGAGGTTTCCTTCACTGACCAATGAGCGGACAGGATGCTCCATACATCTCCGAGCAAACATGGAGGAGAAGTTGATTATTATTATGTTTTATAGTAAAATCAGAAGTAAGATTTCACATAACTCTAGCAGCACCTTGTGAAACATCATATCTACCGCTTTATTAACTCTGAACCGCTTAAATAACCTTAATTCCCTCCAACCTGACACAGCCAATCAAAACAACGGAAGTTTCGATTTCGCCATGGAACAGAACGCGTAGACGGCTTTGCCGCTGGCCGCTGCCGCGGATCGCCTCCCGTGTGTCAGGTAAAAAAAGCGACAGCGACAAATTTCGCTGATCGCGGTCGTTTGTCGCCTCCCGTGTGTCGAGCCCATTAGGCTACTGCCCCCGCGACCCGACTCCGGATAAGCGGATGAAAATGGATGGATGAATGGATGAATGGATTATGATATTTATGAACCATTTTATGTTATTAACATTTTGTCGTTCTTGTGAAGCGCGTCGTGATTTTTATCTTGAGGTGTATCGTTTCTTCTGCTTCTACCTAACTGCAATTGCACATTCAGCCACAAGATGGCGACATACACACATTTTATTCCCAAGCGTTTTGAATCTTCTTTATGCTGAAACATAAACCCTTTGTGAAAAATCCTTCACAAAGACAGTTTGTCAGGGAGAGCGTGTTACTGGTGTAGAATATTGTTTATTCCCGCAACCGAATGCCTCACATTGACTCTTATACCTCTTCTCAGTGGAGGCAAACTGCTCCATCTTTGTCTCATCTGACCATGAAACTTTTGTCTGCATGACATTTGTCTTGTCCATGTGGACAGATGAGATGGCAGGTGTCTTTTCTCTGCCTTGTCCTCTCAGTCCACATTGATGTAAAATTGGTCTCACTGGACTAGAAGTCCTCCAGTGGCAGCAGCTAATCATCTCATTGGCTTGGTTGATCATCTGCTTCACTATTTAGCCGAGAGGATCTCACTAACTGTGATGGCTGGAACGCTCTCTAGATGAACCATGGGATGACTGACGTTAGTTTCTCAGGTTCTTCCATAGAAAGACAAAGTCCTCATCTTCTTGTTGATTTTTTCTGAGACAGAAAAGTTTAGATGTTGTTGAAGAAAGTTCCCAGCTCCAGTAAAAAGGAGAATCTTCTCAAACTAGTTGGTCTATCTTTGTGCTCTCCAGTCAGAGTCCAGACCTGAAAACTACCGTTCACAGATGCCTTCCTGCCAATCTGGGCTTCAGCTGATTTACAGCAATGTGGAAGAAATGTCAGCCTTTAGATGTGTAGAGCTGGTGGACCCCCCCCTCTGCTCTACTGATGCAGGGGGCTGGACACAAATGCACGGCACCGTTTAGGTTTTTATTTGTGTAGCGAGAGAAATCCGTGGAGTGTGAAGGTCATGACACGGTCCACAGCCGTCTTCCCTTTGCCCGAGAAGCTGTGCACTCTAAACCCAAACACATGCGCTGTTTATGACCTCACCATCTGGGAAACCATCACAACAATCCTGTTTATGGTCACGAGTCTGCTTCGGTAGACGGAACTCTCCAACTTTAATAAACAACCAAATTCTGTGTTACACAAGGATTCCCTCACTTTACAGGTGAAATACAACCAACGAGTGTTTTATCTGAAATAAGACTTTACAGTCATGATAAATCTAAATAACTTATTGTTGGATTGCATGATTTCAGATCTTAAAGAACCACAAATCTACTTGATGACTTAATGATGATTTTATTATCAGTCATGCCACATTTTAACATCAGTATATTAACCGTGACAGTTCCATCTTATTTAGATCCCATAGTAAGAGAAATGCTTTCTTTAGGTTTCTTGGGGCAGATGTGATGTCATGGGACGTTGCTCATTCCTCCTACATTTCTCTGGGCTCTGATTGGTCCAACACGGGCCCTGAAAAGAGGGAGTCACTTCGTCTTCTCTTGAGTTCCAGCCAAAGTGCTAAATGCACATCTTTCGGGAGATGAAGCCAGATCTTTCAGCAGGACCCTGTGTCAGGACTGAACAACTATTGTTTGTTTTGACCTGCAACGACTTCATCAGACGAACAACGACCCACCAGCAGAAGTACCGGGGGTATCTCTTGACCAGCCGGGTGGGCTTATATGGACTACGACCTTTGATGACCCAGAGGTCAAAACAAGTCGCCTTGTCGAGACGACTTTGCTGCAAGCTGGATGTCTGAGAACCCTCATCCCGCGGACACCGTAGCTCTGCACACGGGCGTCGGATGAGTTAAATGTATTTGAAAACTAACCAAGCATCAGTAAATGCAGCCAGATTATTCTAATAATCCCAGATATCACATTCTTTCCTAAGTCGCCTAATTAGACTCTTAATAACATCTAAGTTTCATTAAAGTTTGATTATTGTCTCAGCTGATTTTCCCTTGAATACTCATTCATCTACAGCTGTCTTGTAAATTTGTTGTAGAAATAAAGTAATAAATGGATTTTTATAAACTATATTTTTGCTTCTGTGTAACTTAGTGGTAATTGCTGGTGCCCCGGCTTCCCTGGACCCTATTCCAGAGTCAGTCCCATATTAAAGGGTCAATAATATTAGGGATTCATAGTTTTATGGAGCGTTACGTCTTGTTGAATACTTTTCATATTTCGTTGACAGTTTATTAATTGTGACCGCTTACAAAACGGTGCATTTGCTACCAGTTTCATTCCACTTCACAGTCAAATTCTACGTAGGTCTAACAGAAAATCTCAATAAAACACATTTGAGTTTGTGGTTGAAGTTCAAGGGTCATGAATACTTTTGCAAGGCGCCGATTATGAACTGAGGCCCAAATATTAGCTCGGTCTTCCCGATTAGCCCCCCTGGCCCGCGGTCTGGTGCTGCAGGAAGAAGAGATCCAAAGATGATTTTATTTATCTTACATCACTGATTTTTATTAGTTTGAACTGCACAAAAAGTTTTGTGTGTGTTTGTTTTTTCAAATCTGCAACAAGATCCTGTAGAAAAGCTTCCTTTGGTCTCTGGGTCACTCACCTGTAGCATCCACAAACCGTCCACTTCAAGGCTTGACCCTCCACACCGGGGTCGGCGAGGGTCTCATCCCAACTACAAAACCAGCAGCCACACAAACATGGAGTAAGAGCAGCGGTGGCCTCACCAGTAATGTTCGTGTGTTTACTCACCATGGATGTGCTAAAGGAGTCGGGATCGGTCATGTGCAGCTGCACGATGTGCACCAGTAACGCTCTAATACTACAGACGTATGCCTTCCGTAGAACAGTTGGTTATTTATTTCACGTCATTGCCTTCCTAGTCTCCAGGGCCATGGGGCGAGTTTGATGCTCTGCTCCTGAAAGTCTCACCTCTGTGTTGGGTTGCTTAAGGCAGGCTGACCTGTTCAACTCCACCTCTCTGAATCCAGAAGTGGATCGTCCCAGAAGTCCCTGATGTCCAAACGAGGTCATGACTGCTCACCTCCTTCTGAAGGTCTCTGGAGGTAAAGGGCAGCAGTACTTCTGTTGGCTTCATACTTACAGGGATGAGCATAAACACCTGGTGTGTGTGTGTGTGTGTGTGTGTGTGTGTGTGTGTGTGTGTGTGTGTGTGTGTGTGTGTGTGTGTGTGTGTGTGTGTGTGTGTGTTGTGTAGAGAGCGTTCTGAACTTGTGTGTTCTCTTCATGCTGAATCAGCTGTGACGCAGGAAACACCTGTGGATGAGTACCTGTACGTACCTGCCCCACTGCACAAAAACAAAACATTTCAAATATAAAAAAGATTTCTAAAATATGTTTAAAATGATAAATAAAAATTGTGATTAAAATGTTAGGAAAGGGAGAGAAAATGAACAGGAAAGAGGGAAATCCGTGGATCCTGGGAGAGGCGGAGTAAGTAGATCCGAACAAGGAGAGGGAGGAGATGAAGGTCCCACCAAACCTGAACAGGTGAGTTTAAAGGAGACCACTGAGTCCACTGGTCTCAGGCTCAGGAGGAGAGAGGTCCAGAGTCTGGGGGCCACAGCAGCAAATGATCTGTCACCTTTGACCTTTAGCCTGGTGCTGCACAACCAGTAGTAGTGATGATGTACTTTACACATTTTTCATATTTTTAAATCATTTTCTTGAGCCAGCATGTTCTAAAACGATCCTTTACAGGGTGAATGAAATGTCTCTCAGACGCCCACCGCCCCCTGTGCAGAGAGTACCGCACTTGCAACTTCAGAGTAGTGGCCGCTCTGTGTTGGTCACAGCAAAAGTGAAGCTAACATTCCTGTTGTGCAGAACATTCCCTGCATGTTTTAGATCATGAACACAGCTTATCAGTTTAATTTAGTGATGAGTCACTCTTGGGATTGTCTGAACATGCAATCTCATGGTTCACAGACTACTTAAAGGACAGAACTCAGTGAATTAAATATGATGGGTTGTTCTCTGAATGCTTGAGTGTCCACAAGGGAGTACCACAGGGTTCAGTTTTGGGATCCCTCTTGTTCACTGTGTAAATCAGTGACAGGGCAAATGGTGTTGGATGCTAATTTTCACTTGTATGCTGATGACACAATCATCTACTGTTTTTGAACACCCCCCACTAAAGCTGTGGAATTCTTACAGAAAGCTGTTAATGAGGTCCAACAAACACTTCTGCAGGTAACATTGTTCCTCGATGCTGACGAGACTAAGCTGAAGTTGTTTTCAGACTAAAAATGACCTAAGGATGCCCTCAGTGACCACACTTGAAGGAAACATCATAGAGGAGACCTTTTTTTGGTGAATGCCTCAGCACAGTGTCTTGGTAAGACCTATGTGGTCATCGTGCCTCGCTGAGGTTTATCACTAACTGTAGACCACTGACCCATCATGGTGGGTTGTGTTCTCCAGTGGGATGACCTTCTTTGTCCACCAGGAGGTTGGGACATTGGCACACCTTCATTTAGAAGGCCATGCTTGGATTACTACCACCTACATCTGTAACTTAATCTCACGAATTGTAACTTCTCACAGTCTGTGTACAACGATCAGCTGTTACTCTGTTCGGTTTGCTCGCCCCGAACCGGGCTGAAGGGCTTTGGTTCGCTCTGCTCCTTCAGCATGGAGCAGGCTGCAGGAACACTGGACATGAACCCAGTTCATCTCCTCGAACACGTTTAAAACCAGACTGAGAGCCTTGAGACGGATTCCCTGTGTTGTACCTGCTGTCTGTAATCCAGTACATGTCTGTGTACCTGTAACTAAGTAACTGTAACTTCTGCTGCCTCCTGGCCAGGAGAACGAGGTTTTTAATCTCAGTGAGACCTTTTACTTTAAAGTTTACATTTAAACTTTTAGATTTTTTTTTCATTGTGTTTCTAAATCATCATTTGATTTTCTTCTTCTTCCTTCTTCTTCTTCTTCTTCTTCTTCTTCTTCCTTCTTCTTCTTCTTCCTTCTTCTTCCTTCTTCTTCCTTCTTCTTCTTCTTCTTCTTCTTCTTCTTCCTTCTTCTTCTTCTTCCTTCTTCTTCCTTCTTCTTCCTTCTTCTTATTCCTCCTTCTTCTTCCTTCTTCTTCTTCTTCTTCTTCTTCTTCCTTCTTCTTCTTCTTCCTTCTTCTTCTTCTTCTTCTTCCTTCTTCTTCTTCTTCTTCCTTCTTCTTCTTCTTCTTCTTCCTGCTTCTTCCTTCTTCTTCTCCTTCCTTCTTCTTCCTTCTTCTTCTCCTTCCTTCTTCTTCTTCCTTCTTCCTTCTTCTTCTTCTCCTTCCTTCTTCTTCCTTCTTCTTCTTCTTCTTCTCCTTCCTTCTTCTTCTTCTTCCTTCTTCCTTCTTCTTCTGCCTTCTTCTCCTTCCTTCTTCTTCGTCTTCTTCTTCTTCTCCCTTCTTCTTCCTTCTTCTTCTTCCTCTTCTCCTTCCTTCTTCTTCCTTCTTCTTCTTCTTCTTCTCCTTCCTTCTTCTTCTTCTTCCTTCTTCCTTCTTCTTCTGCCTTCTTCTCCTTCCTTCTTCTTCTTCTTCTCCCTTCTTCTTCCTTCTTCTTCTTCCTCTTCATCTTCTTCTTTCTTCATCTTCTTCCTTCTTCTTCTTCTTCTTCTTCTTCTTCTTCTCCCTTCTTCTTCCTTCTTCTTCTTCTTCCTTCTTCCTTCTTCTTCTCCCTTCTTCTTCTTCTTCCTCTTCTTCTTCTTCTTCTTCTTCCTTCTTCTTCTTCTTCTTCTCCCTTCTCCTTCTTCTTCTTCTTCTTCCTTCTTCTTCTTCTTCTTCTTCTTCTTCTTCTCCCTTCTTCTTCCTTCTTCTTCTTCTTCCTTCTTCCTTCTTCTTCTCCCTTCTTCT